AACCTAGAGGCAAAGGCAGGAAATCTTATTGCTTTTCATAGGTGCAGAGATGAGGAGTCTGCAACTCTTGTCTATTCCTAGGCAGGGCTTCTGATTCAAACAGGCAGACTAGGTTATTTGTGTAGTCGTATTCCAGTAATCAGGCATCTATGATACATATTATTTCCTGGGAATTCAAAATTACGCCCATATTTATCACTTATCATGAAATAAAAAAATAGGATGCCAGTGATTTAAAAAAATCTGTAATCAAATGACATAGTCACATCATGCAGCACGGCACAAAAAGGCAAAGGCACAGAATTTAGGGTTTACCAGCTCCTAGTTCTCCATCCTATCCATTACATCACACTGCTTTTCTGCTTCCAAATCCAAGTCAATTTGAGTTTTTACACAGGGTAAAACCTCCACACCCTGCCTTAGGAGGCTGCTCCACCACCTGCAAGGTGTAACCGCATCCCTATAGTCACTAACACAGCAGAATACACATGGATGATACAGCCAGTTGTTCCCAGCAGCATCCCTGAGTAAAGCAGCTTGAGCAGCTTAAAGAACTTGTGGAGACTAGAAAAATCACAGTAAATAAAAAGACAAGAAATCCAGTGACATTCACTGCCTTTCATCCGTTATTTCTTCATAATGTATTTGTTTGGCAATGCATAAGACTAGAGCTGAAAGAACAACACTTGTTGGATGCTGTTAAATCTTCTGGCAAGTAGAATTTGTGTATATTTGTTTCCAATTACTATATACAATAAATGTCATTTACGCCCAGCTGAACTCAGCTTCCTGGACAAGGTCCCTAACAAATGGCCATCTGATCAGTCCCCATCAGGAGGAACAGACTGTATCTGAATGAGACGACTAGGAGAAAAACAAATGGCAACAACGAGCACTAGGCACACCGCTACGATGCAGAGAGACAACAGTGCTGTACCTTTGCTCATTTGAGGCACAAATTCAAAAGGGTGGAAAAAAATCCAGCTTATCTTTCAAAGTCTTTTTATTGCCTTTTCTCAGGTCAATGACTTACACTACACATCATCTTTCTGTTAACCTAAGTGAAGTTTTCTGGTGCTCTGAACAAGTGATTTCAAACACAGAAAATACCTGGATTCTAGCCCTATTTCACACTCTTCTGTATCCTGTCACAAAGTAACTGATTACTTCAACCACACTGCAGCACTGGTTTTTCTTCCCCTGGATCAATACAAAGCATTTCTTGATTAGGTTTTTGGTGCTAGGAAGAATCTCATCACTATCAATCTTATTGATTGGCACCTTAAAGTACTCGTGTATGAAGATCCCTAGATTTATTTTTAAGCAAAATTTCCACATGAACATATGGGCCGAACTCCAAACAATCCATACTGCCAGATAGCTCACAAAAAGCAGGGGGAAGAACGAACGAAAGACAGAAGAGCTGTGAAGGGAGAGGGAGCAAGAACCCAAGGCGAGTACTGAAGACAAAGAGATAGTGGGCAGACTTCAGTAGTGCAGACTGCTGAGAGCACAACTGCAAGAATATTTTGCTTAAATACAGCCCGCAGACATGAAAATACAATTGAAGACTCCATAGACATACACTCTGAGGCAGGAAGTACATCACTTGCCCTTCTCTATTTCAGCAAGATTTCACCTCAAATTGTATATTGAAATCTAACCCATACGGCTATTTTAAAATTTAATTTGAATGTTGTGAGTCCTACCTCCAGACACAGGTATTCATTTGTCATATTTATATAGCAACTTCATCCTCCAGCTTCCTAAAGCATTTCACAATCACATATTTGCAGTACTGACTGCTAGGGTAGCTTCTGTAATAACCAGACCACAGGATATCACTCAGCAATTAAAAAAGGAGCCTGTAGTCAGGTCAAGAAAACAACCAGTCAGGCAGTTTTAAGTCTTTAAAAGGAGAAGCTCAGCATCACTGTAATATGTCTTATAAATCACATACTTGCTCCTGCAGTTGCACAGCTTGAGAAAGTAGAGGTATGAATTCCCCAAATCACACATATTTTGGCTGAATTCGAACAGCAATGACAACCTAATACTGCTGTCGTCTCCCTCATTCATTCAAGTAGTGCAGATCTGTGTGTTGAAACCAGGGGGCCCAAATCCGCTGGTGATCTCAGTGCGTATCTATACAGTGCTCTGGGCTGAAATGCGATTCACACAGAATCCCAGACCGTTAGGGATTGGAAGGGACCTCAGAAGCTCATCCAGTCCAATCCCCCTGCCGGAGCAGGAACACCCAGATGAGGTTGCACAGGAAGGCGTCCAGGCGGGTTTTGAATGTCTGCAGAGAAGGAGACTCCACAACCTCTCTGGGCAGCCTGGGCCAGTGCTCTGTCACCCTCACTGAGAAGAAGTTTCTTCTCCAATTGAAGTGGAACCTCCTGTGTTCCAGTTTGTGTCCGTTACCCCTTGTCCTATCATTGTTTGTCACCGAGAAGAGCCTGGCTCCATCCTTGTGACACTCACCCTTTAAATATTTATAAACAAGAATGAGGTCTCCCCTCAGTCTCCTCTTCTGCAAACTAAAGAGACCCAGCTCCCTCAGCCTTTCCACATAAGGGAGATGCTCCACTCCCTTATGTTTCTCCATTTCTTTCTGAGAAGAAATGAAAGAAATGTTTCTCCATTTCTTTCTGAAAAGCTGGGGTACCGTGCATACCAACTATGTTAAAAAGTCATGAAGGCTGAAAAGTCAGGCAGCAAAAAGCCTGTGCAACATTAATTTGGGTGAGCATTAGGATACAGTCCAGTTCCCCCTGACTGCAATCAAGGACTTCACCCACATGCTATGCTTTTGCAGGAAAACCAAATCCTGCATATAAATGATTTCACTACACAGTTCCAAATAGCTCCCAGAACTGGTTCAGCTTGTGCACTGAATAAGCCAGAAGAGCTGATAAAAAAAATCAACATATGATTAAGACTATTACCATGCATATTTGCAAGCAGGGTGAACTGGGTGTGTTTAGAAAGGCTTGATTTTGGCATTTTCTTTGTCTGTCTTCACAGTCTCAATAGATCCATTGTAGCTGATCTGTGTATATGTTTGTGGCCTATATATGTGTTGTAAGTTTGTTCAGGTGTTTGTTCTCTCTGCACTGAGCTACCTTATGTGCCTAACCTCAGCGTGATTCAGGAAAACCAAAGTTAGAAGCACAACCTCCTTATATAGTAAAGGGAGAAAAACAAACGCCTCCCAGAACTGATTTAATAAGACCTGAGATAATGACCTAGAGTGGATGTTGTGAAAACCTCCTTAAAGCAGCAAGTTTTTCCTACTTATTCTAAATATATATTTTTTCCCCTCTGCAGTGCCAAAGGTCTGCTTAATTCACACAGATTTAATCAACACAAAGAAATGAGAGAAACAGATGGCTTGAGGCCAGCGTTCAAGCAGGTCTGGTTGTGTAAAACCGCGCACACTTCCAACGTGTACACGAGGAAGCAGTGTGCGCGAAAGGGAGATGAACAGGAATTCATCTGGAAAAAAAAGGAAACACAGTGGATATTATACAGGAAGTTTATAATGAGCAATTGAGACTGGGTCCTCAGGACTGAGTGACACTGGTCACACATGTGTCCAAAAAAGCCACGCTGATAAGAATAGGTGCAGTCAGCCTGCATTAGGCAGGAGCCAGTTTGAGAACATATGGCAAAACAAATGATTCAATGCAATCTGCTCATTCTGCTGCTTCCCCCAAATATTGCTGTACTAACACCCTCTGCTTTTTGCCTTATTACATCGTTACTATTTAAGAGCACGGAAAACACCTGTAGGGTTGACAGGGTCCTACAGAATTGCTAACATGATACGCTGCTGTGGAGAGCCTCATACTGTTTCCACAGATCAGACTGAGATGCTTACATGTGTTTTGTTCCTTACTTGTGCGAGAGAAAGGAAGAGAAGGGAAAGCTAGCAGGCTTGTCCTTTTTGCTCCTTTTTCTTGCTCCCAGGCAAAAAAGGATGCATTCTCCCAGTGCATCTCTGGATTTCACACCAGGGATCCCAGCTCCTAGACAGCACCGTCATTGAAGTCTGTGAAGCCCACAGCAAGCAGAAGTTTTACCCCTATTGACATCCTCCAACTTCCAAACCATTTACCTTCAGGCCTATAACCTCCTGAGATAAAAATCTCAGTAAACAACAGAAGGCTTGGGCTTTTTTACACTGAAAACTGTTTTTCCTTTTACAGATGTGGTTGTACAAATAAATGAGCAAGGACACCAGTGAGCAGTGACGTCTGAGACAGGAGTGTCACCACAACTCATCTGTCCATCTAAGTCTTGCAATGTTTATTATTTTAAGTCACGAATTTCCTCCAGAATCAGACTGTATTGACTATAAAAACTCGCCTGCTGTTTTTTTAAAATGAATGTTTACCTCTCAATGGCAAAGGAAAGACGTTCGAAAACCTGAACTTTAAAAACTGAGACAGGAGGAAGTAAAACACATATTCTAAGGTTTTCATTTAGGTTTGTTCTGTAAAGCTCAGGATTTGGAAGCAAATCTAACCATTTCTGGGGATCTTAACTACACGTATTCAGGCTGACAGACTGCTCTCAGTTTCACTGAGGTTCTTTTCGTGGTTCTGCCAGTAACCTGCTGTGTAACCTTGAGTTATTCTCTCTTCTCAGTGATCTTCCTTCTTTCTCTCTACCTTCCTTGCCTTTGTTTGGGTCACTATAACCCTGAACCTTTGAAGCTCTAAACACGTATCCTTGACGTGTTGCAAGTAGTCCACTAAAATGTATGTGACTACTCACAGAGAACATTTATACGGATAGCAGTATATTATGTAAAATGTATACATTTTACCATGGAGTTTTGTGTATGTATGAAAACACACCAAAACAACTGAAAGCAAGTAACTTATCTGTATCTATTACAACTATACACTGATCCTTCTTTGGACATTTCCATTGCCAGCTCCTACTGTGTTTTTTATCTAGAGAGATTCATGCTATGGGGCACACAGTACCATATCACAGTGCAGCTCCAGGTTTAGGTCTCCTTTATTAGTGTGAAGTCGCACATAACCCTTCTTCTTCACATATGTGTATCTCACAACATCTTCGTCAATCGCAGCTGTATAAAAGCAAAACACAGTAATTAGCTCTCTGGAAGCTCACCCATTGATCTTTAGAATTCACCAGAAAACAAATTGCTAGATTCTACTGTCTGACCTCTTCCCCTGGGGTACTGGGTCTTCAGGGATTGTACTCTGCAATTCATCTATGATAACTTCACATTAATCTCTGTGCAGAATACTTTCCATTACAGAAATCCACCAACTCCTCGAGAGCCAACAATATCGTCTGTACTTTTAAGTCACAGAAGCATTCAATATTACGAGCTATAATTTTCAAGTAACGTCTACCAATCACAAACATCACATTGAAACCAAATCGTTTCTTGTCAAACTAGGAAGCCAAGCAGGTAGTCATCAGTCAACCACAAATTGCTGACATATGAGGACCTACCCAGTTCTGAAAAGAAATGAAGCTAAATTACTGGAAAGTCAAACCAAAGGATCAATCTAGGATGTTTCCACTTCCATTTTGTCAAAATGTCCAGTCAGTCAGATATTTTCAATGCTTAAAGATTCGCCTGCAAATCACTGTAATTCACCGAGTAACTGAACTTGGTAAACGTCGTTTCAGCAACGTATTCAATCTTTGCCTAAGCACGTGACATAATTCTAAATTTTAGTGCCATAAGTGAGCCCTTTCTCTTCAACTGGGAATACTAATGGCTCAGCTATTTAACCAATATTCAAATGAAATAAATTCCATACATTTGTGTTTAGGCTAGAGAACGAAAGGAAAACTTGATTGTACCAAAATGCATTTTTGTGTAACCTTGAAAAGCAGTAAATCTAAAGTTATTACCACAAACTTTGCTGTCATTCTAATCAATATCAGTTTAGGCCAAAAAGGTGGTAAAAATGTCGTATGCTATTTGAGGAGAGATTACACTTCATCCCTAACTTAGATAAGTGGATATCCCATTTTGTGGTCCCTGGGCATAGAAAATACCTCATTAATTTCAGTTCAGTATAAGTAACTGCCATGCAAAGCCAAAGATAATTCGTAACTGCTCCATTATTTTCAGAATGAGCTCACAGGAAAGTAAGGATGTGTCTGCTTAGGGAATACATTCTAATGTATTAGAATCGACCAATTATCAATGCATTCCTCCAGCCCTCATAAATATATGAGTGCTTGGGAGCACACTTTAAAACTGGAAAGTAAATAAACAGCCTGTAGCTAGGTAGTTCTGGTACCTGCTTCGTGGGTAGTTTCAGGCACCATGGCAGTGGAGGTGAAGGAAGCACTTACTGCTCCAGTGGAATAGTGAGCCTGTTTGCAGAGGAAAAAGCAAGAGAAAAAGATATTAGATCGTAGAATTTATCTACTGAAGATACTATACAAGCACTAGAAACACACAAATGTCATCCTTCTGAAGGCAGACTTTCTGCTCCAGCTCCTATAGAAAGAAACAAATGCACAACGCAGCGACAATTCTCCATTTGTTACCCATAACATTCGCTCTGATGAAGCTCTAGTTAAGACTGTCCAGGCGCTGACGTGAAGGGAGTTATTGCTTCCACTACAGTTTAATACATCATTATGCAAAGATTCTATTACCAGAATTCATTTGTACGTCTACAGGTGGAGCTACGAAAGGAGCACTGCTGACAAGACACCTGTAAAGTTCTCGAGCATTGCTGAGTAAGTGGAAGGAAAATCCAGTGAACCGCAGAGATGCTGCAGAAGAGAGCAAACCATCCCCCCTCCCACACACAGCCCTTCTGCATGCAGAGGCACTGTCCCATGGTTCCCAATGCCTGTTCTGAGCTTTGTAATGCTCCTGTAGAGAGGAAATGTGAACATCACACTTGGATTTTCTGGTAAATTACGAAGATCTGACAAATCCACAAATAGGTTTAGCGGCTCTGGGGCAATGCCTGTAAAGAACACAGGTCAGGCCAATGCTCCATCCACATGGTTACACTGCATCCTACACAAGTTTATAGTTATGCCCATCCACACCACTAGTGTACAATCTGACTCTCCAACATGTGTAGAGCTCATCGTTGTCTCTCACTTCTTTTGTTTTCTCAGAACACTCTGACGCCCTGAAAAAGGGGCAAATGTCTTCCTACTCCCTGCTCACAGACACTCCCTAATCTGTCACTAACCCTCCTCATTAAAAGCCATATGCTGCATTGTTGTTCATTTGCATGTAAGTGTAATCAAAACACAAGAACACGTACATCCCAGAATTACTAAAGAAAGAATACTCTGTCTTGACCATTTCAAACAGCCTTTGAAGTAGGAAGTCTAGATGCAGATGAATAGTTTCTCTTGACAACCACGAACAGACAGTAACATGCACCTGGAAGAACATCCTTGTCCTGGGTTTGCTGGGACAGAGATTTTTTTTTTCTTTCCCTCATAGTAGCTTGTGCTGGGATTGATATTGATAACACATCAGCATTTACACTTTTTCAAGGTTTGTTTTTCAGTCTCTACCTCAACACATGTTCATAATTTCTTTGGGTTTTTTCTTTTCCTCCTCTCTGCACAAGAGAATGGTGGGGGGGGAACAAAAGCCCAGGATGCTCTGGGACAGCTGAGCTAGGAGAATCCTTTAAAATACTCCACTAAAAATCCTGCATTCCAGGGGAAAAACAAAAAGGAGAAGCAGCTGTGGATGATTTATGTATTTGCCCACACCAGAAATTATTCACTTGCACTGCCCTTAAGGTGTGTTCTCTCTGCCAGTAACTGCAGGAATCAATGATAAACAAATTCAAAGCAAGAAACTACAAGCTGGGAAAAAAGATTCTGCCAATATACACATCATAACCACATCATAAAGATTCCTCCTTCTTACTGTGCTCCATTTCTAAAATGTTTAGGTTCATTTACAATGATTCAACAAAGAGAAACTCCCTGACACATACAATGTATTTCTAAGGAACCCCAGTATGATTCTCATATTGTCATCTATGACAAATTTCCATAGAACAGAAAACATAAGGAGCAGTGTCTGTTTATACTGCAATATGGCCTCTAAGTTGAAAAACATCTATTACCATTCTTGGAACAGTCAATCGGTGCCAAACTCCGAATTAAGTCAACTTACTGCATTCAGCTTATCCACTTTCTTCTTTTCAGGAGCCTTCATAGTAGCTGCTAGAATATCATCACCTTTGAATTCCTTATAAAGCTCCAGTAAAGTCTCTCGGGTCTCTGTATTTGTATTTTTCAAATAGTAAGATGGATCTAATTTTGCTTTTTCTTCATCTAGATAAGACAAAGTTAAAACATTCAAAGGTAAAAGAAAAATCTCTTTAGTTCTCCTTCAGTTTATTATATATCTAGTTATACAAAAATCTTCTGGATATCATTTCTACATTTTTTTTTAATAAAAAGGTCTAGCAAATATATTTGTTCCTGCACAAACAGTAACAAATAGCAATGTGCAACACTAACAACAGTGTAACTTGAAATAGAGCACTATAAATGCCAATATGAGGAAGTATAATAAAAGAAAAGAAACAACTTCAAGTCAACTACCGTAAAAAATTCCTCGAAACCACCAGAAATTACCTAAGTTCATGCCAGTCTTGTAAAATTTTTATAGAACAATAAAGACAAGGTACACTTGGGCACAACATAAACTGAACGGGCAGGCCTGCGATGCAGAAATCCCAAGATCAAATCTCTCATGTGACACCGGGGCAGAAGGCTGGCGGACTGGATTGCACAATTTGATGATCTGTACAATTTGTACGAGTTTCACTTGTTCTCTGTCTTGGTGTGCCTATTATTTGCTAGACACTAAATATTCCATCTCTGAGATAATACCCGCTCATTTTTAGCAGGTAAATAGAAAGAGACATGATTGCTTGCAAAACTAGTAGCTTTAAAAATATATATATATATAAGATAATAACACACCATGCTTAGAATCAGCAATTAGACCTTATTAGAAACAGTTCTAATGGGAACCACAACGGCAAAGGAGAGAATGTTTTTTCTTCAGGGATTTAATATTACGAAGCATTCAGCTTTCGAAGACTCACGAAAAACTGAGGGGCAAATTTCTCAGTTGTGATATCTAAAAAGAAAAATAAGTCTTTTATTTTTATTACTAAAAGAATTTTAGGACAATTTTAGAAATACCTACATCAGTCTTTAATGTGGAAGACACCCATTGTCATCGAGACAGAAGGGTGGACAATACATACAAGAGAGAGCCCAGCAGACCTGTATGAGAAGACACAGGTTTCCTTGTCTGGGTTCTGCTACAAGGCTAATGGACCTTCTGGCAAATTATTGTTCCTTCTCTTCTCAGCTCTCTCTCACCTGCCTACTCTTAAAGAATATGGCAGGCGTTCTGTGTTTGCACAGCACTCAATAGAGACAGTTAATGATTTCTCAAAGAATCATGTCTTTGCTTCAAAATCTGTTAACACCTTTTGATGAGACCGGGACAGTTTCAACACATTATCCATGTTTCCAAGAAGCTTTCAAAGTTACCACCAGCCGCTGAGAGATGTCTCTCCAGAAAAGCGTGTTAATTCTATAATGTCATGCAGAATTAGCATATTTGTGTTGATGCCTTCTCAGCCTACCTTCAATTCATCCTTACCTGGATCAATTACTTTTATGTTGTTCTTAACATGAAAGAAATTTGACACGTTGAACTTATCCAGATTTGTTGGATCCTGAAAATAATAATTGAAAAATAAGAAACCAAACAACATCTATCAGAGAGCTTGGTAGGCACCCATCCCATGCAACAGACTGGTTTGAAGAGCAGACACCACCATAACAAACAAACAGGGAGAGACAGAATAACTTCCATATTCCCCAAATCACAGAAAGATTAAAATATCATAAAGCAATCAGTCCCAACTGATATCAGTCATGAGCCTGTTCACAGTAGGCTCCTTAGGAATCTGGAATTTAGTCCCAAGCATAACATTACACACATTTTGCCTACAGAAGTTATCAACAGAACTAAGCTGAGTCTGTTGTATCCTAGCGAGAAGAAACGAGGAGCTGCAATCCTCTGGTTCTTTCCTTTGTTCTGTGGTTTGGTCTAAGATGGATGCAAATTCACATTAGCTGTCTCCTATTTGTAACAGTGTGCCTGACTTGCACACGCTCCGTGAACTTTTGTCACGCATTTCAAAATGCAAATGAACCTGAGAGCAAATCTTTGCAGTCAGACCTGTTTTGATTAGTTTCTTTTTAATAGCGAAATCTGTGCTTACAGAATCGCATCTAAAATTAAAAACCAATAATTTAAAAAAGCAACGAAGAGTGGTATTATGAAAACTCTACTGGGTGACCACTCAAGGAGAACAGTAACAGTACACAGTCCATTAATTGTGAGTACATTATCTCCAGGCAACTTTCTGCATAACTTTGACCTTTTGTTAGAGAGTAAGACAAGGAATGCCTACTGGTGATCTACGTTACATTATACCATTATTAAGCAGTCCTTAATCCTTCTCTTACAATGACTTCAAGGTTTTCGCCTCAAGCTCTTCTGTAGCACAGAAAGGTCAAACCATCGGCTCAGGACAGCCAGGCATTTCTGGAAATTCTATCTTCCAGAAAACAATTCAGAATCTAAAATATCACAATAGTTTCAAGTTCAGTATAAAGACAATGCAACGTTATGCAAAGAACTATGACACTGGCATGAATAGTAATATCCCAAATAAATTTTAAGAAGCTTCTCAGATCGCCGCTCTTGGTGAGAAGTTCCAGCAATTCCATCCATGCTAAATGTAATGATTAATACAAACAGAGTTGGTAGCTCCATTACTCACTAAGTGACCTAATGACGCCTTTGACTGAGCCCTGCAATGGTATGCTTGCACCAGAGAGTGCATTTTCAGTTCAACTGCTGGTAGTAAAACCAAACCACATGTATGAAATCAAGCGGTGTGATTCTGCACCCCAATGATGACCTCCTGGCTTTCTGCCGTTCCCTTTCCAAACACCAGGTAATAATTTTCAGTTGTTTCATGTCCCTCCAACAGATATTCATCAAGATATGGACCGCCAAAAAGATACACATTTTCTCTTCAAGATCTTGCATTAGAAACAGATCATCTTTAAATAAAACTACTAAGGAACAGAAATTTGGACGTGCTTTTAAACCATTTTTGTACCCTCCAACATCAGCACTAAGGTTTGTTTATTATTTATTACCTCACATACACATTTATATATGCATGAATAGAGATAATTTCAGCCTTGCTTTCTGACAGTCAAAAACACGCATAGAGAAAATCTGAATAAAGGACTTTGTGTTTCTTGAAGACTCAAATTGCCTCCTCCCAAATACACTCCAGCAATCATGAGCTGCAGCTTTCCCAGACAGATATCACTGCCTTTCACATACACGTATCAGCACGAAAGGTGAAGAAAGTAATACTGCTTACCAATTCCAGGAAAGGAGAAAAAAAATAATCTGTGTATTAATATTAATAGAGACAAATGGATTTCTAGCAATCCACATGTCTGCTGTTCATGGCAAAGCCGAAGGGCAAGACCGATTCCTGAAACCAACTTTTCATGGACAGAAGGGAGGGCAGGAGACAGCAGCAATGATGAACCAGAACTATATTCCTCTAAATAAAGCTGCTTGATTTATTGATTGTTTAAAAATAAATAAAAGGACATCACAAGTGCCAGTGCCTTAAGCAAACAACTGCTTTATGCTCAGGGTACAACGACTCGGATTAGTCCAAACTGTCTGACAGCCACAGTTCATTCAAACTGGCTTAGCCAGCCTAATTGCAGGCTTTGAGCAACTCCTGCAAAAGCATTTACAATTCTTCCCTACAAGGGATTTCTCAAACAGCCACTAACCTGCCCACAGGCAATGCACCCATTACGGTGAGAAGGCCAGCGGAGGCCACAGGGCAGGTCCCTCTCCTTGCAGGCCACAGCCATCCATCGGCTTTCTGAGACAACCCCAAACCCCAGAACTGAGACCAAGGTCCTCCACATCCAGCTGGGCCAATTGTTCAAATGAAAGCCTTGACAAAGATTTGATTTACAGCGTTGTCCCTTGTGTTCCCAATTCCGCAAAGCAGGAATCTCACTGCTCACCGAAAAGGCAGACAACTCACGTGCCCACTCCAAAACCAGTTTCCCTCTTTCAGTGGATAAAAAACCCTCAAAAATGGTTCCTCGGGTTGAAATTTGAGCGTCACCTTACACAGGACACCTAGGACGAGCGGTTGACATATTGATTCCTCCCTCTAAAATACAGCATCATTATACATGAAGAAGTTTGATTAGAGTTAAACATGCACACTAAGTGTGACAGTGCTGCGGTGAATATCAACTTAAACACAAAATAACATTTGCTTCCGCCACCCCAAAACCAGAAACGCATCTGACCAGTCCAACCTGTACTGCAGAGGACTCAAATAATTTCCTTACTGAGGTTAACGAGTCCTACAACACAAGATAAGCACTTTTTTAGAGTAGGTCTATGTATATTTTAAAAGTGCACGCATTCTTTTGACGTATCACTTCAGGGAGAAAACTGTCTAAACACTGTTTATGAGCCTGCCAAGTTCCTCGTGTTGCGTCCATGGCAGTTACTGGGCACAGAACCAGGGCAGTCCGCCCAAGACACCGCAGGGACGGGCAGACCGGCATACCCACATCATCAAAGCCTTGAGCTCTAATGAATTTACAGCCTCTCCTGGTCAGGAATGGCTGGGCTCACAGGGATGCTCCCACTCCTGTTAAAATTAAGGCCCAAAAGCCAAACGCCTAAAGAAGTAAGTTTTGTATAAGCACACAGAAACGAGAAAGGAAGATGAACCAGGAAGAGTGAATTGGCCTGCTTTTGTTTGTCTTGGCATGTTTTAAAATATGTATTTAAATTACCATGGGTGGCTGTCTCAGGGTCTTTCTTTTTAAGATTACAAACCATAAAGTTTAGCAAATTACTAACACAGATACAGACTCCAAAGGGTTGCTAGCTATGATGATTATAAATCTCATATCTGATGTTTTCCTGAAAGCTGAGCTCTGAAAACAATTAGTCTCAAGTTTTATTCCACTTCTTTTTTTCCTATCATCTTCCCGTTTCATCTACTTAGGGAAAACAGCTTTAAACCCAGTAATTTAAACCACCATACACACAACCCCCCAGAAAAGCAGGTTAAAACCAGCACAGTTTTAGACTGCATGATTCCTTTGATGCCTGGTTCCTCTCTTACCACTTGGTCAGCCATACTGCATCCCTCATCTTCAGGACTGTTACCTTCAAATGACATTTAGAAGTACAAACCCCACATTATCCTCCGCGATAAAGCCTGATTCTGGGCATGTAAACTTAAGTTTTCAAGTGATATTAATAAAGTGACGTGACTGCTTTCCAAACAATCACTAGCTGTTGCTTAAGCTTTGAAAACTGCGTTTACAGATAAACGCACTTGCAGTCTTCCTCCTTGGCTGCAAGTAAACGCAGCCTCCTCGAGGACTTTGCCTGGGCTGGAGAACACCGACAGCTTTGGATTTTCTCTCTGGAACGGAACCATTCTCTCTCTCCCACCCTACGGCTGAGATCCAACATCTCATATGCCAACCACAGCCCAATGCACCACTTCTTAACCAGCCACTCTGCACATGCATTGGTGCAGGATTCATCCTCCAAGAGCCCTCACCCACAACCGAGAGGAAATCTGCTCTGACCTTCTGTCACACAACGAGCAAACGACAAATAGCTGTGCAGTGAAATATCAATTAGCAGCGTGCGGCTCAGCTCCCTCCAACTTAGCTCATTAGCTATGCTTCCTGCCACAAATGTCAGTGGTGTTTAACAGCTTGTTGGGAACCATGTCTTGTCCACGGCTGATTAGGTTGTACAGAAACGATAGAACTGACACAAGGAAGCACATTACAGTATGAGCCTTTTTCCCTTTAATGGCAGCGATGTTTGCATTCTACCGAGATGATTTTTTTGTGTCTCGAGTTATTTCTCCCAGGAACCCCCTCCATTTCTGTGGTGCAAAGCAGATGCATTTGTTAGCATACGTTAATCGGGGAAGGCACTCAGCAGGCTGCCAACACAGGACTGTACCTATTACCACTGGCACAGCAGGGCTGGGGGGAGCAGATTATTGCAATTCTTCTGGCAAACAGGAACAGGCCACCTCTGGCTCTGCTTTACCTGCAGGCACTGCTGTTGAGCAGAGCCACACTTCTCACTAACTCCCCTCCTCTCCTCTCCCGCAGCCCAGCAACAGCTTCTAAGAGTTTCCAAGAGCAAGAATAATTTACTTTGTATTTTCACAAATTTGAGAGCCATGGCTTCTGGTTTGTGAACAGAGACACAGTGGAGGATGATGACTTAACAAGGGCTAAAGGGGAAATTGTTCTTAGTTCCTCTGAACACTTCCTACCAAATGGGACATGAAAGCAGGGTACCACAGCATTCTCACTTTTCTCTCCTCAGGACCCCCTAACATTTGTTGCGATGCGAAGAAGTCCACAGGACTGTCCGAGCCCACCACCGTGTGCAGCAGGGCACCCGAGTCCTTGGGCTGTCTGTCAGCTGGAAGCACATTCATGACATTTGCAAGGGATTCTCAGTTAGGCCGAGCTGATCATCAATCAGGGTAAAAGAACACAAGCAGGTTTCAAGTTATGAAAAACACGGACAAAATACAACAGCAATATTCCATTTAGAAGAGACATGAACCAGTACAGTTGAGAGAAAAACCATCTGAAATGATGATAAACTGTAAGGAGAGAGAAACTTGGGAAAATAACACCTGCACTGCAGAATACGGAAAGCTTGACTCGAGTTTGTGGCAAGATCACGCACGAAAAGGAAATTTAAACTTGGGGTTAAAGAGCTACAGTCACACTAAGACTGCTGGTGTCTGGTGTCTAGGAAGGGTTTCACATGGAATAACGCCACGTGTGTTTCTGTCCCTATCAACAAGATATTAAACCAGAATCCATGACAACTTTTGCCTGAATAACTGCATTCCAGTTTTGGTAATGTATCTTGCACACCAGGATATGGTATTGTTCTTTACCTCCTGCCCTGAGAGGCTGGATAATATCGCCATATGTTGATGAAAAACTGCCATGCTCTACCCCAGGAAATTTGCATTTCAACAGGGAAAAAAGCAATTTCTGTGTATGTAAGTGCAGGAAGCGCTGTGGATTCCTTTACAAACTGAAATAAATCATAGATCTAAGACAGTGTCATTAAAAACTACAGCTGTGATTTTGCTTTTTTTTTAGTTCCAGTTCCAAAATAATTTGTCCTTTTTTTTTTTTCTTACAAGTAAACTTAATAGCAATAGGACACAAATAACTATCACTGCAAATCAAAGCGACCAGCTGAGATGGTGCCCACCAGCAAAGACAGCGGATGGATTATGATCAGCATCTGAACAATGTTTAGCATTGAGAACAGAACAAGGAATTTTATGCAGTTCTCTCTCTTCTGGGAAGAGCAATTTTTGGGGTTTTGTTTTTAGTGATATACATTAGGAGAGAGAGGTCAAGTTTGAGGTGAATTGCTATTCTGGTAAAAGTACATCCCTAGCAGCTGTAGGATCGCCCTTTATGGATCAGTAAGGGAAAATATGATCATACAAATGATCTGTAAACACAACAGTATTCAAATTTCCCATTTATCAGGTTGCATTTCACGATCAAATACAGGTACCCCATCTGCTTCCTACGACATTCAGAGTCAGCCTCTGGAAATGCTATTTCCTATTGATAAACACAGCTATTACAGACAGTCCTATTCAGTTGTTATTTGCAAAGCAAAGAATGGTTTTTTATAGCAACTTCCTTTATATCTACCTTTTTGCCAAACAGCAGGGTCAGTGTTATCAACCTGGTCTCAATTCCAGCTCTTTCAGATACCACAGTACCAAATTTATACGGGGCAATGGAAAAACAACACAGTGACGAATTTCAGCACAGAATTGAAAGGTTTTTAAGAGAAGCGGGATTTGGGATACAGCTCTAGAGCCACAAACTGAAACACAACAGATTGCAGTCACAAACTCTGGCTAAGAAACAAAGCCACAGGCGGCAGAGCTTGGCAGCGTGAAGCCACCACAACGCCTGCAGTGTTGTCAACAAGAGAGCTTGTAGAGGAGACACTGGTCTGTCTTTCAACAATTTAAATGAAGAAAATACTATGAGAAAGTAACAACAGATTCCTGTGCCACATATACATCAGCAATTTTAATACCCAAGCTGGTCACACCACTTTAGGTTCCATTCTGGTCTCAACAAAGCAAAACAGGGTAGGGCAGCATTTGAACAGGAGAGACCAAGGAATCCTTGTGAGCTTGCAGTGGGCGTTTGCTGTGCATTAAATGGCTCTTGTCATTCAACACCCCAAAGCCATTTTAACCAGTTTGTTGAAAATCCTTTTCTGAAAAAAATATTTAAAAACTAATGGGTGAAGGGTCACGCTTTCGCTGGTTCAGATGGTCCAAAGCATTCCGACGGTCAAAACTGCTTCCAGTCCAACCACAAAATGGGGGCAGCTTTGCTATTTCTAAGCCTACTTGAGAAGAGTGTACCACAAGGCTGTGCACTACTGAAGTTCAGTTAACACCGATCCATACTGAGTTGTTCGCTTAAGAGGAACAAAGCTACTCAGGCATTACAAACGTCATCCTAAACAGACGTGAGAGGCGCATGCAGTGTATGGCTGTGACCCCCCGGAGCAGGCAGGATGACTGGACAACTATTATAATCCATTTTGTTTCTGTTAATGGACATATTCCTCCAAGACACAAACCCAACATGTCAGAAACAGAGTGAAGGTGAAAAATATTTATAAAAATCCATACAGGGAGCATCTAAGCAGTTAGCCATTGCATTCTGAAATTGAAGTGACTACAGCATCTGTCTGCTTTTATGAAAAGTCAAAGCTAGGTGTGTAACAGGAACAACTCTTTATACACACATCCAATTCCAAACCTACAAAAAATATCAAAATATTTTTAAATTACTGCACATTTCAATTATTTGTTCAAAAGAATTTGGTTTTCCATACGGATGCACAGAAACATTTTTAGTCACTCGTGTTGTCTTTTTTTACTGTTCCAAATCCATTAACAACCATGCTATTACATTCAAATAACATTCTGTTGAGAGCTTTCCATCTGAAAAAGCTATGGTTTTTGCTTCCATTGGATTAAAAACATTTTACTTTGTTGCATTAGCTTGAACAGCCATAAGCCAAAAGGAATAGAGGAAAAATATTAGGTCGAGAGAGGTTCTCCTCCCCCTCTACTCTGCCCTGGTGAGACTGCATCTGGAATATTGTGTCCAGTTCTGGGCCCCTCAGGTCAAGAAGGACAGGGAACTGCTGGAGAGAGTCCAGCGTAGGGCTACAAAGATGATGGAGGGAGTGGAGCATCTCCCTTATGAGGAGCGGCTGAGGGAGCTGGGGCTCTTTAGTTTGCAGAAGAGGAGACTGAGGGGAGACCTCATTCATGTTTATAAATATCTAAAGGGTGAGTGTCACGAGGATGGAGCCAGGCTCTTCTCGGTGACAAACAATGATAGGACAAGGGGTAACGGACACAAACTGGAACACAGGAGGTTCCACTTCAATTGGAGAAGAAACTTCTTCTCAGTGAGGGTGACAGAGCCCTGGCCCAGGCTGCCCAGAGAGGTTGTGGAGTCTCCTTCTCTGCAGACATTCAAAACCCGCCTGGACGCCTTCCTGTGTAACCTCATCTGGGTGTTCCTGCTCCGGCAGGGGGATTGGACTGGATGAGCTTTTGAGGTCCCTTCCAATCCCTGACGTCTGTGATTCTGTGAAAATATCTATAAACATGCTGCTCAGCACTGGGGATGAGGGAAGAAAGGAGACATTTCATTTAAACTTAGATATAAATGAAAAATATTTTTCTACTCAAATTGGAGCGTATTAGTCTTGGTTAGTGGCAGTTAAGTGTTTGTGAGATGCATACTAACTCATGACTCCAATAATAATTATCCTTGAACCTTTTTCTCCAGTTTGAAATCATGCAAGCTTAAAAATGCCCACTTTTAAATAAAAGCTTTAGATCTTTTGATACCAAACTTCACCCGAAAACAAGCATCTTTTACACTCTGAAATTTACAACGCTGTTTTAATTTAGCTTTTAATTTTGTTAAAGTCAATAAAAGACCCATATCAGTATCTATCCAGAAGAAACATTCTAAGCAAACACTTAAAATCCTCTGATTTGCTGCTTGGTTTACTCTACATTGAGAGAAAAGCTCTATAAAAATTGCTTTTCTGAAACTTGGACTCTTTTAGGCAACTTCAAAAGAGTAAGACGCACAACCAACTTCAGTCATAATGTAACATGACAACTTCTTAAATGTTTATACACTTTGCAGCCTAAACCATGTTTCTTCTGATAACGTGGACCATGCACTGCTGGCTGTCTAGAGCTGAGGATGATTTCTCCCTTTCATTTACCCAGTCTTTTCCTAGCGCACTTCCGCTAAATCTCACAACAAATCAGAGGCGTCACAGCAATTTTTCAGGTAAGATTAACAGAAAAGTCCCCCAGATCTTACTTGCAGTTTCATATCTAAAACTGACAAGATCTTACATTAAGTCGGATACAGTGAAATAGCGAGCAACTGCAAATACACTTGTGAAAACTCACATTTTTACACGGCATCCTTGACTTTTTCTGTGCACCTTTATTGTTTTTCCTCCTTCCATTTACAAAGTTGAACAATCTGCTTATCTACAAGGCACACAGTAATCACCCTAGAGATTTGTCAAGCTCTAAGTTATATGGCATCTTTGTGGCTTCCTGCTGTAATGGTATATATATATATACAGCAACATTTCATGCTCGGCAAAAAAGCTGTATTATAAAACATGTAACAGAGAGAAAAGTTTACCTGCAGTGTCACAATGTCTTGCCGAGTGAAGGGCTCATCTGTCAAAAGATCCTTGTAACTCTTTGGTCTTATGTTCAGCTGCTCAACTGCCTAATAGCCAAGAAAAAGTCGCAGATATTAAAAACTGGATTCTAATGCGTAAATATTACAAGCAAATATGTGATACCAACAAAACCTTAAAGTATTAATTATTAAGAAAACAACTTTACCCTTCATTCTTAACTGGCAGCTGCAGTATTTTCACTGTGTGCTTTAACAGAAGAGAAGCTTATGTCTTTCATCCCTACAAAACTCAACAGTTTTGTGTGGTTTGGTTGCTTAAGGTTTTTTTTAAAAGAAAACAACTTGCAGCCTTCATTCTGTAGTTCTGCATATCATTCTAATCAAATTAATCATAAAAGTACTGCCAAAAGAAAAAAAACCTTGCTTGCAGTTTCCTAAGTTAGTGAGTTTTATCAAGGGCTCTGTACCCCTTCACTGTCAGCACCCTCGGGGAGACGCGCGTGTCCCAGGGAGCTCGTACAACAGCGGAGTCGCATTGGCGTCCCACGCTCTGCTGCACCTGGCCTGCAGCAACACTTCTGTTCACCTGGGAAAGTTAAATGATGCTCAGCAGAGCAGCAGCGTGTTATTTTATGGTGAGAATCAAGGTGGAATAAATGCTTTATCGTTACTAACAAATATATTGTGCAAAGTGACGACTATGGAGGTCTACCTGCAAAAAACCAGAATCTGTCTCATTCACCCAAATGTCCTCTATTAAATGTCCTCTCTCTACATATATGTCTCTATCTCCTCAGATAAAAGTGGTAATATTCTTCTAGTACCTCCAGAAGTCCATAAATTAATTCTGTGCTTATACCAAATCAATAAATGCTATTGCTTTAAGTGATACACCACAACAGAAACAGAGTCTCTTGGTGCAGCTTGTTTAGGAAACCCAGTATTATAAATCATAGTGAACCGAGCAACAGTTTTACAGTATCAACAAGCATTAAACAAAGACTACCTTAAACTCATTCTTGCTTTCAACCACAGCAATCAAAGCATCATGCTTCCAGACAGAGGAGAAAATACTTTCTATTTTAACCTAATCTTGACTGCTCTCACAGCTGGAAATAAGACAGCTCAACCAGAACAGAGCAGGTTTTAAAAAAACGTGTCAAATTCAGCCTTTTCCTTGATGGCAACGGTTTCAGCTTGTTCATCCCTCGATATCTGAAAGTCCTACTGGAATTTCCCATCAGCAGATTCCAAAAAGCAGCTGTTTCAGTGTTCAGACTTTTTACAACACTGGATATGGATGCGTTAACTGAAAGATTTGTTTGCTACTAAAAAATAGACAAACTTTGTTTTTACAGTAAGGATTACGCAAACAAGTCACAACTAAAATTCCACCTGGGTTCACACAAACATTCACAAAATACAAATGAAAACACATTTCCAGTGTCTATTAAGGCATTTTCTCCGCTCCTTCTTCAGCTCCAGTTAAAATACCCTTTTTTTAATTCACTGATAGAAACAGCTGACTGCAAATAGTGATGACTGTATCAGAAAGAAGAGAACAGAAGATTTGTCTACTAATTCAACTGAGAAACATATAAAAGCTACTTATTTTGGTCTACAAGTTTCAGTGCATGCAGATTAACTTAGGAAAAGGTTTTAAAAGTATCTTTCAAATCATGTTCTAGGGTTGTTCATATTCTGAAGGCAAAAGTTGGGCAACAATTTGTGAAGTCAGTTCACCTCCTTGGACTTTAATTTCCCTGGCTGTAGAACAAGAACAAAACATGTCTAGCTTTTTAAGCATTTTGCGATCTTGAATGAAATGCATCAAATATAAAATACTAAAAATGAAACGAAACAGAGAACTCACCTCATAGGCAAACACATTTCCCGTTGTCCTGATGGCCACAATATGGGAGTTATTGGTGAACACAGTAAACAGCACTGGACAGTGGTATTTACCTGATGAATGGGAAAAAAATTAAATTTGGCATGAAGCCACTGCAACTGTTTTGGAAAATGTAATTTCTGCCATCTCTGAGAAGGATATTTACATTAATTTTTAAAATACACTGTAACTTGAGTGTATATTTAATGGTGTTTTAACTATGCTTTGATTCTTCAATGACAAATAGAAAAAGTAACACTTAAGAGAATTATAAAGCAAGCAATAAAAATGCAGTTTTGAAAACTACTGCCCTCAGTCCCCCAACACACAACTTTGTCCAACTTGCTTGATATCTATGAAGTACCACAACATAATTTTTATTGTTAGAATCAAAGCTCTACTGAGGGCATGAGCTTGTACCTTGTAACGTGCCCAGAGCTCTGTTTCCAGTGCTGCTCCCAGCAATAAAAGTTTAGTTCACATTCAGTTAAAAAGTTCGCAGCAGCTGTTGTGCTTTTAGGAGAGCAGGGTATTTTGTATTCAAACATGGCAAGCAGAATGCCATTAAATCTGTACACGTTATTTTCAATAAGGAACCCAGCTTCTGCTCTAATCAAGCTGTGAATTTTCCCAGGAGGGTCAGCATAAATATTAAGCGTGTCAACAACAAGCAAACTGATGGAAGGCAACGTACGAGCAAAAAGAAAAATGTCTGGACGATCTCAGCAGAAAGCAATCAGAAGAAGGTTATTAATACTCATTCAGTTTGCTACACCCAGGGGTTTGGGTGAGATTTTTGAAATAGGTTGGACCTATTTGGTTCTTTTTTTTCCCTAATTACCATCTGAAAATCAAAACCAGCAGGGAGACCAGAGCAGAGACCGCTCGCAGCACTTGCGAGGCAAGCACCTACAGAGTGTTTACCAATTACCAGAGGAGGCACTGACCTCCAGCACACAAAGGCAGGTGAAAGCTGAGGACCAATTCTATGATAATGCCACCAGAGCGGAAGGAAAGCCATTGCCACAAGGGTCTGACATTCAGGAGAAAGTTCAGGAAGGGATTTTGAGAAGTGGCATCAGGGTAGGGCCCAACTGATGGATGCAGAAACACGGTGACTCCAGCTGCTTCAGAAGGAGCAAAGCACCACGTTTTCACTTCTAGCAAAAGCGGAGCTGCTGAGGACACACACTTGTTGGTCTGGACAGAAGGTACTCAGCTAAGGCAGGATCATTAAACGGAAGAAACTGCAGTATCAAAGACCTTTTTTACTGTACAGGCGTGAATAGAGAAGATCCTACATGCGTAGCAACTGTTGTACACATTAAGATTTAAAGAAAAGTTTGCTGACAGACAGCAATGCAACATTTTACTGATCTGCTGCTGCATTTTCCCTCGATGAGTTAATGACACAGCACACACCTTTTTGAGGCTTCTGAGACTGCGTGATTGCCATCCTCCCACCCCAGCATCATGAGCTGGACTTCTTTAAGGAAAGCACAATATTGCAGTATCTTTCAAGAACCTTGGCCACAGAAACTATGGATCGTATTTTAACACCCTGCTCTTGAGGCAGATGGAACACAGAACGCAGAAGAAATCCATCAGCTAGAGAAAAGTCCTTGTAGTCTATGGGCTATCACTAAGATAAGGACACAGACAGTCCAGAATTTTATTCCCACCTAATCCTTGCCACTCTCATTTCAAAGAAATCATTATAAATATTTAAAGGGTGAGTGTCACGAGGATGGAGCCAGGCTCTTCTCGGTGACAAACAATGGTAGGACAAGGGGTAACGGACACAAACTGGAACACAGGAGGTTCCACTTCAATTGGAGAAGAAACTTCTTCTCAGTGAGGGTGACAGAGCCCTGGCCCAGGCTGCCCAGAGAGGTTGTGGAGTCTCCTTCTCTGCAGACATTCAAAACCCGCCTGGACGCCTTCCTGTGCAACCTCATCTGGGTGTTCCTGCTCCGGCAGGGGGATTGGACTGGATGAGCTTTGGAGGTCCCTTCCAAACTCTAACGTTCTGGGATTATCTGCATTGTAAGAAATTAATTCATCCACAGTCTTCTCTTTAAGTCCTAGCATCTTCTTTTAGATGGCAGATTTTATATCTTTAACTAAAGAAACAAAACCTGAGGCTACTTTCTTGCATGCTGCTATTCATAAAATCCCACCTGTTCATTTAAGTCGAATTAATTTTACAAACAAAAAGTTGGTCAAAACAAAGTGCATAACGAATAATGGCACAGGCAAGTTAGAAAAAAAGATAACACACAAATCTAGCCTCTTCTGAAAAGGTCCCCTAAAGTAAATAGTACCTTACTGCAGTAGAAGCTTTAGTAAAGTGAAACTGCTGAATAATTTACAGCTTCCTAGTGTACAGAAAAACAGAAATGGAACTTTAAGGGTAAACATGTCACTCACAAGAAGCAGTCATTCTACTCCAAAAATAAAAACTATGATAGAAGACACAAACAACGTAACTTTCCCAGGAGTAAGACAAAGCAGGATTTATTAAAGCACTCATTAAGGAAAAAAATTAAAAATAAAAAAAAAAACACCAGAAAATTGCTGCACTTACCTTCACTGTTTTTAGCAAAATTCAGCTTTATAAGTGATTTGGCATCCAGTTTCTAAAGAAAACGAAGCATTACAAAAATTAATCACAACAGGAAAAAGGAAACAGTAACATCAGCGTCAGTATTTTAATAGCGCATAATTTATTAATAATATATTGCACGTTGTCTGAATCATCAGAACTCTGGGAATTTAAGTCACAGAGAGCCCACAAAACCAAGGCTCACCGAGCCTGAGAACTGGGATATTTTATTTATTAGTGGTGTAGTTTGACACAGTACAGCGCTAACCAGAGTGAATGAGCTCGAGAAATTGCACAGCTCTGCCTTCGCACAAACAAAGGGGAGTTTGCATGCAAGGCTAAGAGGCGAAGATCATTGCTGCTGATCAGAAGCAACAATTCAGAAGGACGAAACTCACAGAGCCAGCAAAGCATTTTGGCAAACAAGCTCACTACCTTTTCTGAAATTACTGTAATTTTCCTTTTACTTGAGGAAATATGCAGCAGAGCCCACATGATAACTAGCAATAACGAAGAGAAACAGAGGCACAGATTCTCTGGAGAGACACTTGCAGACATAAAGATCCCCAGGAGGGACCTTCAGCCGGTTAATCCCCAGGTAGCAATGCCACAAAGAGGGAACCGAGCCGGCAGCAAAGGCTGCGCAGTCCTACAGGCTGATGAAAGGAGGGCAATGATCTCCTACCCCAGAGAAGACACCACAGACTAAGGCAGCTCCCGCTCTCTCACACTGCAGCAAAAGAGCATCTCTGCCATTTTTCTGCTCCCCTCTCTCCCAGGGGGACTTCTGACATAGGGAGAGAAGAGCCATTGGGCTGGCAAACCCTTCTGGATGTTATCGCTTTGGACGTTATCAGGCTGGCAAACCCTTTATGTGTGTGTATATATATATATATATTTAATGTATAGATTTTATATATATATATAAATATA